ACTTGAATATCAGTCAATATATTCCCTAGCTAAAACCTGAGAAAGTGAGAATCCTGTGTGCAGAAAGAGAATTGCAAATAGGTAGCATTCATGATTCACTGGCCTCTGCCCTTTCTGTTAACAAGTCTTAACAGGTTCTGTAACATTTGCTAAGCGATTCTGTAGTGTTTTCCAGCCGGGGAAGGTTTTTTAAAAATACTTAAAATCCTCCCAACAGATACTGTTTGGACACACTCTTAATCTGTACAGTTTTTGTTTCGATTCATTTGCTTTACTTTGAGTTCTTTATAATCTCTGCTCCCCGTAGGGTTCTTTGAGTTGTTCAAGAGGCTTATCTTAAACTGCCTGAGCATGCTGAGGAAGTGGATGGGAGATGAAAAAAGTCAGATTGAACCTCCTTGAGAATTTTATTCCCCCCCTTACAGATCTCAAGCTGAAAAGATAGTGAGATGTTTTGTGCCAATTCCCTGTGAGCTGGTTACTGACTTTCTGAGTTTCTAGCAGCAGCTACGAGCTTTTCTCACCACCAGCATTTTATGTATGCCATAAGGTGCTCTAGAGATGGCAGCAGTGTTGAATCTCTGCCTTGGGTAGTGTTGTGTTGGGATTTGTATCAGTCAGATTCCAGGTGATGATGGCAGAGCTCAGCAATTGTCCTACACTGACTTTGAGGAGGCTTAATTTTCTCTGCAGAGAAGGGAAGAGATAAATGTTATTCTGTGCTTTACTATCTCCTCTCTCAGTTTGGTAGTGGTTCAGGTCTTCCCAGATACACGTGGCATGGAACCTTGCTCCTTTTCTGGTAGAAACACAGTTAATATAGCCAGCAAAGATTCTCCTCTGGGTAGAATTTAACTTTCTCCTCTGATTTTGCATTGAAACATGACAGGTTCTGTTCTTTCATGCTGCTTGGATACATATGGAAAAGCTGACTGCAAAGTCTGTGGCTACAGATTTATTGCAAAGCAACTACTTTAGCGGCAAAGGCATCTGGTCCTTGCAGACTGTCTGCTTTAAGCCATGTGCTCCGAAACCATGTTAGTAAAGCATTGCAGTCAGCAATCTTAATATCCTACTTCGCTTATAAAAGATAGGTTTCTTGAAGTCTCTAAGGAAATTTACTCTTCAGAAATTCTTCTTGGTGGGGTTTGATGCACTGCTAAAAGAATATACAGGCTACAGAAAAAGTCCCATCTGAACTTTGGTTCTAGTAACATGAAGTTGGAGGCATTTCCTTAACACTGAAACAATAGATTAAGTATTACAGGGTATCCCGTACCTTAAACTGAATTTTTCTTTTACACCAGTGTGTGTGCAAATGGACTCACATACAGCTATGTTGCCGCTAGTTTGTTATCTTTTTAGTTGTGCTCTACCTTAAAAATGCTGAGATCTCAGTAAGAGCATTTTACAATGTCAGCGTCTTCTATTATTAGTAAGGGATCATTTTCAGAAAAATGTTTACACGAATTTGAAGTGCTGATTTTCTCATTTTCTGCTTTTAGAATCTTTGGGCTACTTATCATTAGCTTCCAAATGCTTCTGTGTGATCCTGTATCACATTATGCATCTTCTTTGGAATCAGGAAAATTGCTGCATATTGTAATGTGTCACCAACAACCCCTTTTTACAGTACAACTAATAGAGAAGTTGGTGGCATCTATAAGACTCCTTCTGAATTCATGACATCGGTATTTGTAAACACAAAAAGAAGTACTGCAAAGTCAGGTTGTAGCTTATGATGTCCCGTGCTTGGACCATATGGAAAACAAATAGCTGAATATTAAGATATTTTTATATTTGCTTTTTTTTCCCCCCTATGTATATCTACATTTATCAGTCAAAGTTCCTCTGCCTAGTCTTTCAATATTGTTTCTTTTAGTTGTCATCTGTTTCATTCTCTGTTCTCAGTATTTGCAGTGTAGCAGACAAGAAAACTGAAATAAAGAATGTTTTTTCCTAGCTAACTCTTGCATCATTACTTGTTTACTACTGTAATACTAGTTGATAAGTGATATTTCCATACAGAAATACGTCATTAGGAGAATCACTTTTATCATGACATCAGAAAATTCCTAAATTATGCTTTCTAAGATTGGCTCTTTCTGTGGAATGGAATTTCTTCTGTCTCTTCATATTACAGTGTATGACGTGTGTGATGATAGATAGGTCTGTTGTGTTTATACAGAGTAATGCTTTGAGTACTTTCTTTTAATATTCTGTATTTAACTCTGTATTTGTGAAGAAACACTATGCTGCTTTGCCTCCAAGTGGCTTTTATTCTTTAGGGACACAGTTGATTTACATTCCAAAAAAACAAAGGCTCCTGAAACATCTCAGAATATTGTAGTAACAACCTATGCAATCATTTAATGATTTTTTCTTGCTGCAGTTTGAAAGCTTAAAGGGTAAAATCTAGAAATCAGTCATGTGCAAACACACACATTTTTCTTAAGAGGAGTGTTTGGTATGAATACACACATTTTTCTTAAGAGTAGTGTTTGAGAATTTATAACTCATGGCCTTAAGTCAAAGGCATTTACATTACTGAAAGTATTAAAGGGACATAAAAAACTTATAACCATAATTTAGGCCCAAGAGCAGATAAAACGTTAAAAAATCATCAATCATGATACCAAAAAAAAAAAGGCAGAATTTTCATTAAATTACTATTGAGAAGAAGAAAGTTGGCATGTTGATGTTTTATTGTAATAAAGATATGCTTTCTGTTTGATCCAGAAGCAGGGATGAGGTGAATCAATCACTCTCAAAAGTATTTTTGGTTGTTTTTTTTTATTTTACTGGAAAACTAAGGTGTGCCCGTATTTCTAATGATAAATGGAATGACTGGAGTAAGTATACGTTTGGAAAGCTGACATTTACCCTTAATATAACTATGGAAAGGTGATACAGCATATGCCAACAATGATGCAGACAAGACATTACTAATGCAAAAAATGGTTTATTAGAGAATGTCTTGTCAAATATGTTTATTAGTTTTTTATGATAAAACTAACTTATGGAGGGTATTTTAATGTGTTCTGTACAATGTTTTGTTTCGGAAAATTAGTGTTAAGCCAAACTGACTTACTGTCTGTTAAATCAAATAAAATCTAATTATCTGGTAGATCTGGGAAGGTGGTTGTAAGTGAGGAAACCTAATGCTATGGGGAAGTTTCCAAAGAGATACTGTGCTTCGTAGTGTTCGGCACAAGAACCATTATCTCTCTTGTTTATTTGAGATGAGATCAAGAGATGACATGGCTATATTCTATAAACACCTACACATGGAAGATATTTCCAGTGATTGCAAGTATTTTATCTTAGTGACGTGATGAGTTCTCCTGGCTGTTGGCTGAAAAATGAGGAAAAAAAAATTAGTTCAGAAACAGCACATTTTAAACGAGAGAGTAGCTCTCCATTGGAACAACTAGTAGTTGTCAACAACTAGTAGTTGTCAACAAGTAGTTGTCCATAGGAACAACTACCTTATATCATTTGAAAACATTAAATCAAGGCCTTCTAGGTTATAATTTTAAAAGGTAGTCTGGGATTGTTATGAAAACTGAGTGCAAGAGGCTAATGCAGATGGTTAGAGTAGCTCCTTCTAGCCTTGGACTGTCATAGTACAGAGGCTAGAATAACTTCTTCACTTTTTTGCATTCATATCTTTGCAACTTTGACCTATTGAAATAAGAAAGGGACTAAATGTTATTAGTAAACTAGAAATTGTTTACTATTTTCCCATTCTATGTTTTAGGACCTTTAATAATACTTTACAATCATGTACCTCTTCTGAATTAAACAGAAATTAAAATTGTGGCTTTATATTAACATGACCATTTGCCTCAAAGCTTAGTCAGGTTTACCAAAGTCTCCCTCTGTTTGCTAATATTCAGTGGTAGTCAACACATTGACCCAATGTCCCTCTCTTGCACTCTCTGTAGAGCTAGCTGCTAGTTTAATTCCATACAAAGAGAAATTAATCAGTATTATTGATTTGCAGTCTTTATATTAGACTTCTGAAGTGCTCTTTATCTCATGCTCTTCTCTATTAGTTATCCTAGGAAAACTTTAAAAAGTTTTATATATTTCTCAGTTCAATTACCTACCATACCATTTTAGGGTTATAAGGATGCTAGTGTGTATAGGAGGATGTGCAAATATTTAACATACAGTTTACAAACCTAAGAAGACCCACAGATTTTCACTTTTTTTCTTCAGGTGTGTTTGTGGTACTATTTCAATGGGGAAAACTATTTAAACTAAGAAATTAATTGAAGGTCTTATTAAATTGATCTGAAGATTATCTTCATATTCACAGGACAGTTTTTCATTCATCTTTATGTATCATAAGGTTTCATAATACTTTCTGTTTGCTCTAATCTCAAACTCTTTGGATTTTCCAGTCTGTAAACTCTCCAGGGCAGGTTACTTATTATATATCTATATGGCACTGAAACTAAACCCTAGGTGTGTTTGGATACATGTCGGTAAGTGGTCATCTACACTAAGACTTTTGAAGACTAGGTTTTCTGGATGTGAGCAAAATATGTTTTCTATTGTGAATGGTCTGTCTTTCTATGTCTTCAAGCTCCTTAAGCTCTGAGTGTCCATTCTGTGCTCCTGCAGGGATTGAGAGTAGCAGCAGGTGAATAGCCAGAGTATCTGGAGGGATATCCCAAACAGGACATAGTTGTTCCACCTGCAATTCTGGAAAATAAGTGTGAAAACTGTTAGGAATGATGAGAACAGTGTAACAGCATAGTCCCTTCTTCCATATCACTCTTTTGGCTGCAGTGAAAGCAGTAGATGGTAGAAAAAGACTACCCCAATTCAAGATAAAACTCCTGCCAGGAGCTTTATGAAATAATTGGATGGATGGATCTTAAGATTGCTTGGGAGGATCTTAAGATCCATCTGTTAAGTTGTTTTGTAAAGCATACACTGGCCATGTGTCATATTCCCAGCTGATTATTTTTCATCTTTCTTTCATTCAGGTTCTCTCAATTTGCCCAAAGGACATGAGAGCAGATATATGTGTGCACCTAAACCGGAAAGTTTTTAATGAGCATCCTGCCTTCCGGCTGGCTAGCGACGGCTGCCTGCGAGCCCTGGCTGTGGAGTTTCAGACAATCCATTGCGCCCCGGGAGACCTCATCTATCACGCTGGGGAAAGTGTTGATGCTCTTTGCTTTGTGGTCTCAGGATCCCTAGAAGTCATCCAGGACGACGAGGTGGTGGCTATTTTAGGTACTGTGATCTCTACTGAAATTCTAGGGGGTTGGATAAATTTGCCTTCTGCTCAGCTTTGAATATTAACTAGTTTTGCCTAACATCAACTGAGACTGTTAGGAGGCTAGTGTTTGTCATAAGATGGAGATGTTTTGTCTCCAGAGATACTGCTGTAGAAGAAGGCCCTTCATCTTTTATGCCATTGGGAATGCTCTTTCTGCCCAGCATGGCTCACTGGTCACAAAGTGTCTCAGAGCAGAAGAGAATGGCATCTATGTGCTTGACATCTTTTAAATAGCCCAGTAGAGAAAATGCAGACTGTTTTATATTAGTCTCTTGGGAGGATTTCCACTTTAACCTTCACACTGGCATTTTAATTTGTCTATATACTGGCCCAGAATAACAGATGGAAACAGTCTCTACAAGGAAGCAAAACTGTCACTTATAGTGAACTGGCCTTAGAGAAAATCAGCCTCATCTAACTATGCAAAGAGATAGCGATGCACCTATCTCTTCTCATAGTCTACCCAGCAACAGGCATGAGAAGTTTCAGTAACGGGGAAGGTCCAAGTTGATCACCCTGTCACCTCACTGTGGTGTCTGGTTTGCCAGCAGTGGGTGGGGAAAGGCTTCATGCAGACTCCTCCCTAGCTTGTAAGGAATTGGGAAAGGTGTAGCAGATGGTGGGACTGAATGATCAGCACTGGTGCTGATGCCGGAATCATCGTCAGAGGCAGAACAGTGTAGATGAAGAAATGGTAGCTCTGCCTAAAAACCACTCTGAGTCTGACTTGCCTGTTTAAAGTAGAACCACTTCTAGAACTCGTCTCCAGTTGAATATTAGCTGTTTGCTTTCTCTTAAACTGGAGCTGTGGCTCCCTGAGAGCAAATCCAATGGTGACATTGTCCTAGGGAACTTCTTACACCCCACTGAAGCTCTGTACTTCTTCCCTGTAAGGGTGGCTCCGGAGGGCTCCATGGGACCCTCTTGTATCTCGTGGGGATGACAGCTGTGAGATGAAAGTTACACTTGGAGTTGCCCTGGCATGTGGGAAGAGAGTGGACATGGAGAGTCACTACTGGTCATGAATCAAGGCTTCAGCTCCTTCCCAGCTGGCAACAAGGGGGAGAAGAAGAGAAATTAGGACAAGTGTGTAGCCAAGGAAGATTCCCGATGTGTTGCTGTACAAGCCGGTGTATGTGTCCTGCACTTGGGTGGAACTAGGCAGTGTGCAGATGTGTGGATGAGACTGAATGGGGGTATTCCCCAAGGGCATAACCCAGGTCCTCCCAGCTGGAGAGTATGAACTCAGGAAAATGCACATCCATGCTCTTTTGAAATACCTGCTGCAGCTTTCTGTATTCTAGAATATACTAAAGTTTTTAAAAAGGGAGATTTAAGGAAAGAATTAATCTGTTTCCTTACTCAGTTGCAGAGTTATTATGATGAAAGCTCCTAAATATGGAATTTCCAAAGTAAAAAAATTCCTTGTATTTTAGGTCACTGGACTGTTTCATGTTTATTATTAGTTTCAGTGACGATGTATTTGCTTACAGTGCTTTAAAAATCAAAAGCTTTAAGTCTAAGTAGCAGCATTTAAACAAATAAATGTTTTTTGGGTATTACAAACAATAAATATGTAATTTTCTGAATAGAAGCAATCACTAAATGGATTACATGCAAAACTTTGTTGCCTTTACTAATGAATATTGTTTGTTTGGAATAATAGTAAACCCTTTTTTTTCTACCTTGTAGATATGGTAAATCTAGTATTTAGGTTATTGTCCATTTGCCTGGAGAGACTTTTAACCATTTCTAGTTAAAGTGAATTACCCTAATTACCAGAAGTGCCTTCAATTCTGCCATGGCTGCTGGCAAGCAGTCCCATGACTCAGAGCTATGTTCATTGTGTACTACAGGGACTGGCACAATGTGTAAATGTAATTTAAAATAATCCGCTTCCTCTAGTCCTGGAGCACACTGAAGAGTGCTTTAATGCTCTGAGAAATTATTTAGCGGAATAGTGAACTGAGTAATTATGAGATGTTGTATGCTGAAAATTCACTTATGAAAGGAAATCTCTCCCACATGTAGTTGCAATGATATTGTCCCGGGTTCAGCTGTAACAGTTATTTTTCTCCTTCCTCGTAGCTGGTGCAGTGCTGTGTTTTGGCTTTAGTCTGAGAACAATGCTGATAACACACAGATGTTTTAGTTGTTGCTAAGTAGTGCTTACCCTGATCAAGGACTTCTCAGTCTCTCATGCTCTGTCAGTGAGAAGGGGCATAAGAAGCCAGGAATCCAGGAGAACTGTTTGGACTTTTTTTTCTCTTCAGTTTTTTGTTTTATATTCTCTCCCCTTGTTATTTCCCTTAGCAGTAGTGGTTTTGTATGGTACCTTAATTACTGGACTATTCTTATCTCAACCCATGGGGTTTACATTATTTTGATTCTCCTCCCCATCCCACCCAGAGGCGGAGGGGATGGAAGGGGTGAGCAAATGGCTGTGTCGTTCTGAGTTACCGTTTGGGCTGAAACCACAACAGATATCTACAGTGCCAGCTGTGGCACCTGAAATAGTGACTGCAGAACAGTGATAAACATGATTTTTATCAATCTGTTCTGCCTTGAGAAGTTCAAGCACAATGAATCTGCCTAAGGGGGAGATCAGATTTTAAAACATCTGCCTAATGTGAAAACCTCTGTAGCTTGCTTTGAATACTCCAAGCATCTGCTGTCACATTGGGTTTCCTAGGGAAAGACAACTTACAGGGTTGTACTACCAGTCTGCCTATCTTCTCCATCCTTCAGCAGTAACCCAGAGAGTAAATGCAATGAATATTCTTTGGAAACTTGTCTTCATCAGTTTCCACTATGGGACCTGGAACACAGCAGGACATGCTGTCTGCCAGCCTCTGCTCCTTGCAGAGGAAAGAATAGTGTAATGTTGTTTAATATGGTAGTATTATTTGCCTTGCTTAAAGAGAGAGAGAAGGAGAAGGGGAGAAGGTGTGTCCGTTTTTTGGTTGTTTTTTTTTTTCTTGTTAATCCTGCTCACCTGCCAATATATTGGTATATTCTTAGAAGTGGAACATCCTCAGAAAGTGAATCAGGTAGGCACACCGACATGTGTTAGGAATGTGCATCTTCCATCACTTACATTCGTGCTTCTGTCCAGAGTGCAGGGTTTTGTCTTCCCTCAGGTCCCAGCATAAAACATTCCATAGTGCTGCTGCTTTTCCCCCTTGTTCATCTTGCTGTATCACATTATGTTCTGTAACAGCCATGGTGAGTTGGCCCATCCAGCCTCCCTGCCTGCTGAGACAGTGTGCTCAGGAGACTCGGCATCCCATCCATGTGCTTTCTGCAGCTCTGCTGTGGAGACAACCATCCTTTTGTTCAGCAGCAGCCTTCCTGGCTCAATGGCCCCAGCTTTGGTGTTTCGAAAGCAGGTGAAACCCAGTGATTGACAGAGCAACTTGCAGCACTGTGAGGTTTTATTCTCTCCTGGTTTGTTTTTGTTCTTACTGGTGCATAATTAAATGCCCAGCTGCTGTAGTTACCAGCATTGCAGAAATCAGTACATTGAGAGAATGAATCCAATTGGAGCTCTGCAGTTTATATGTCTCATTAATGGAGATACCCAGGTGCTCCATTACATTTCCCTCATTAGTTATCTCCATCTCTCAAGGACAGTCTCCCACCTTTTGCAGGTACTGACTGCTGCTGTAGCAGAGAGTGCACCACCTGCAGAGCTGGTGTGATGGGGTGCTGCTTATCTGGAGAAAACAAGACCCAGTCATTTTAAAATAACTCATCTGCAGTCGCCAGGATAATGGAGAAGGGCAAACAGTCTTGTCTCTAATTATCAAAAATTTCCTAGCAAGTGAGGTGACCCTAAGAAGACACATCAGTAATTTTCCACCGTCTCAAGCAGGAGTAAACAATATAGCTGCCACTGCTCTGCCTGGGGGAGGTGTTACCAGCAGAGAAGTCTCAGGAAAGACCAGAGGTTTTACACCCCCCAGGCTAACAAAATGAGGCATCTGCTAGCAGAGGGCACCTAACAGTTCACCCTGCTGCAATTAACCTGAATTTGCTCCTGGCAAGGAGTTTTGTGTAAGTGGCAATGCCAACCAAGTGTCTCTGGAAGCTGCTTTCCAGCTCCCATTATTTTGCACAGCTGACTGCATAAGTTGTACTGTAATTTAAACCAGGCAGATTGATTAAGAAGGTTTAAAGAAGTCATTTTGCCAGCAGAAAAATAATGACCCACCACATTCAAATGTTGATTGTAGGAATTGATCAAAAATATTGCTCAGACTGCATAGCAATAAAAATATATCGAGCAGTGAAATCTTAGTGGAGTCTGAATTAATTCAATTTTGATAGTCAAGCCAGAGTGAATGTATATTTAATAGCTCATTTTCAGCCACACTCAGGGTCTTGATCCTGTATCTATTCTATTAAGTTGTATTTGCCTTTATGCATGTTAATTCTCAGCATGTTCTGTATATACTCCCAGAGCAACCTGTTGTTTGTTGGTTTTTTTGTCTTCGCAAGCCAGAGTTTCACTTCTTAAAGGTCTGGGAAGGGGATATTATGCAGTATCAGAGGAGTTAAGGAAAGCTGGGATGAGTCTTTTTCTACTCTTAATCGTACATGTGTTTGGAGGTCAAAAGATTAAGTCTCCTATCAAATCACACAGAGGAAAGTTCTTTAGAGGCTGAGCAAGTAAGAACATCCATTTAGGTGAGCAGGAGATGTAGGTGTTCAATAGTTGTAATTTGGTGTCTGGGATCCAGGCATCAACACTTTGAATTTCCTTGGTGCTATACAGCCAGTCATGTACTTTGTGCAGGACAAGTATGACCCACTGTGATGCACTCTCTGACATAAAAACTGCCTGTCAATGCTATTACATCTCATAGTATTAGTAATTAATTCTGCGACTTTAATTAGTTTAGTTGGAGCTTGGGTTTCTTCTCAGGTGGAATGAAGGGAGCAGAATTTTCCCCTGTGTCATATCAGCTCTTGATATTTACACTGAGCTTTATTTTTCATGTGATGTAAACCAAGGCAGACTAGTTGTGAGAGTTTCCTCAGATTAATAATGTGCACCCAGTAGCAATTTATGGAACAGCTTGTTCCTATTTCATTTATGGAAAAAGTCCCTTTTGTTCCAATGAGTTAAAACTCTAAAATGACTAAAAGTAAAATGATTCATAAAGGAAAGGGTTGGGGTTTGGGGATTTTTTTTTCAGCTATCAGCATTGCAAAAATTAATGTGCCACACGATGGTTTTTTGAGTGTTGAATCTCAAGGTATTTTGCAAAATATTTGAAGAATTACTGATCTGAGAACCAATGAGATGTGGTGCTCTGTGCTGTACAGGTCTTGAGCATGTGCCTTGCAGTAAGTAGTATCTTGCAGGTCTAAGTTGGCATACGTAGTACCACATAACATTTACTCCTACACATGCTTGTTTAAAAGCATTATTAGTTCTTACTGACAGAGTTGAAGGGAAAGTTCAATTTTTCACATTATTTTGCAAATTTAAAATATTTTTGTCTCTATCTGCATGCTAGTTAACTATAATAAGAAGCATCAGTCTTAATTTAGTGCCAGCTGGTGTGTTAGAGATGTGATCTGCAGCCTTCAATGTCAGAAAGATTCCTTTCACTGAACTGAAAAGTTTTTGAATTAGACCTGCACACTTCACTGCCAAACAGGGACTCAGAAGTCTTGGCAGTGACAGAAAAGGAAAATTATTTAAAAATCATATGATGTATTTCTTTTAACTCAGACTAACAATTTGAGGCAGTTTGATTTGCTGTATAAGATTTGAAGATGGTGGGACTGGTCAAGCTTTCAAATATATTTCCTCAGTCAGGAAGAATAAAAAATTATTTCTGTATAAAATCAAATTGGAGATATTCTGGGCTTCCAGAAAAAGATGAAGTACTAGGACACTTGCACTAAAACTGGGGGAGATGAGGCAGAATATGTATATATACCATTTCGTCTTCTTGCAGCAGTCCTGAATGCTGGAAGAAAGGTACATTTCTTTTGCGTTTCTAGGCACAGATGGGGAAGGTTGCTCTGTGTTAAATAATGCAAAGCACCTTTGCTGGCATGTGACTGCACAGCACAGAAAAACACCTTACCACCTTAAGAAGTCTTGGTGCCTTTTATGTGTTTTTCTTCATTGCTTCTTTTCCACTAGAAATTTATTGTTTCATTGCCTTCCCAAATTTTCTTCCAAAGGCCCCATCAACTTCTCGTGTCTACTAAAGTATTTCTCATCTGGAGAAGGCTAATTTTTTCTTTTGCATAGATATACAAGGGTTCTGAGACACTGTTCAATAAGTCTTTCTAAATGCAAGAAATTTTTCATTCCCTTTGCAAGGTCCTGAGGAGTTTCATAAGGCCCTTCAGATTTTTTCTGCCTGAATGGTCCATGTGTGAGCTGCTGTCTCACAAATTGGCAAGGCTGTGGAGAGCACCCTTCCACCCACTTTTGTATGGGAGCGTTATCGTACCATAAAAGAATAGTGTATAGAAATATCTATTATATAGTTACATATTATGTACATTATGTACACATATGTACATATTATGTACATATTATGTACACATTATGTACAGTCATATGGACATAATACACCAGCAAATTTTTGTCCATACCTAGGATGATACCAGTGTAGTTATTTCAGCAAAAATTATGCCTGTCACCAACACCTTCCACATGTCCTCCTGGTTTCTGTGGTTCTTTCATTCCCAAATCCCTACACCCATGTTCCTGCCAGCTTTAATGTAGCAGTATCCAAATCCTCCCCTTCCCTTTCCTCATACCAAGTGCAAAAGGTATGCAAGCAGTTCCCACTCCAATTCAGCGTTCTTTTTTGCAGCGATGCTCTGATCACGGTGAGAGCAGGAGCAGGAGGACTTCCCATAGCTTCACCTCCATTCAGGTGGAGTATTAAGACTGCTCAGAACTCAGAACAGTGCAGATTTGGGAGGTAATATGCTGAGGCCTCAAGAAATCTCAAGAGAAAGGCTTTGAAAAGTCTTCAGGCCACATCAGCCCCAAGCACCTCTGTATTCCCAGCCCAGCACTGGGCTTATCCTGAAGGTATGTATATGTTGTGCTAGTGCACAACGTATACATGCCTCTGAGTAGCTGGTATTTCAGACCTACCAGTTAAATTTTCAGTTGCAACCCTGAAAGTTGGTTGGTTTTCTTCTTTTCATTTCTTTGCTCTGTGTAAAATTGTACTTGAATGAATAATTACCACTCTCTACTCAGTGAACTACAGTTAATAGGGACAAAGTATAGCACATTAATCTCTGTATTTATGAGAAAAAGATGTGTTTTGGAGAATCTGGTTGGCTTTGTTTTCTTTCAGTACATTTCTTGGTATATTTATAAGAGGGAAATAAAACTTGGAAATGTGTGTGAAAAATGTCAGATTCAAGAACCCTTAAACACTTCCAAGACATTCGGCTTTCTGAAGAGAATAAACCACAATGTAAGAGGAGCTTATGGTTTCAGCATTCAAATCCATCAACTGATGGCTCATGGAGGAGTGGATAGGTTCAGTTCATCATGTCCCAGCCTTTCTGAGAGACCCAGTGCAGTTGCCTGCCTCACTGAAGGCAATGAGAAGATCTTCTCAAGTGTATGAATGGTGATTTCATTTATCTCTGGTGTGGGTACACATACCGTAATGCACCATCATGCAGAGTTTCTGAGCAAATATGCACTGCTTTCAACTGGTTGGCTTAGATTAACTATGTATTACCATAAATTTGAGAAGAAAACAAGTATTTTGCTGACATTTCAGTGGGAAAATTGTAATAGTCCCTCCTATTGAATTGTGTCTTTTTAACTGCACTCTGCAGCCACTGAAAGTGAGACTCAATTCTGTTCTGTGTCCACCTCAGAGAGCAAATCCATTAAGCAATTTTGTGCATTTCAGAAATAGTCTATTTCCTATAAATTATGTAACTGTGCTGAGTATGTCTGTAAACCAGGTTTTGAACTGTGGGTATAGACAAGGACAATTAACTGCGACGGGTAATTTCAAAACAGCACATTGGATAAATGTTATGTGACTGAGAAATGCTCTGTGATGAGAGTATTTCAAAACAGCTTGCTTTAAAAATTATACCAGCTGTAGTATGTATAGTAGTTAATTTTAATTATATCAAAACATGTAGAATTTAAAGCCGTCCAACGAGAATGCAGTTATAACCTTTGTAAGAGATGATTCTGCTATATAGACTGCTGTTAGAAAATAAAGTCAAGGAAATTAAGTTAAAGACTTACACTTTTTATTTTACTCTGCTTGAGGAATGTGAGATATCCTCTACTGGGTACAATACCTAAACAAAAACGGAAATAGAGAAATATGTGTGACCCCCAAAAGTAATAAGGTTGGGTAAATTATTACTCTGGTCTGTGTTCCCAAAATAGAGTTGAGTGTAATGTTGCATGTTCTTAAAAGAGGAAATACTAAAATATATTACATTCTTTTTTATCCCCAAATGACCAAGAGGCTGCTTCAGGTACCTGAAATCAATATCAATACCACCACTGACTGACTAATTTTAGTTTCTTTTTAATGTGTGCTAAAATAAAGAGCTTGGATAACATTGAGGTATAAAAAACAAATAAAACAAAACAAAGCAAAAAAACCAAAACCTTTGTACCATGGCTTCTGCTTCCAGATTTGAGGTGTTGGCCACAAACGGTGTACTATGGCTCTTGCTCAGCCCATGGCTGATAAGCAGCTGGGGAGCAAAAGGCAGCTTTTGGATGCTTCAATGTGCTTTCTGTTGCTGCCCCTACTTCTCCTCAGAGCAACCGTAGCATCGCAACCTGAAAGCATAACTCCAGTCTGCAGCCATGCTGGTGTTATGGTTAGGTCAGGAGTATGATTTCCAACCTGATATCCTGATCTTCCCAACTTGTCCTGCTCCAGTGTCTAGTGTGGCTGTCTATGTGGATTCCTTGCAGATGAAAGGAAACTGGGGTATGTTTGAACATATTTCATGCACTTCCATCCCTTGGAGTTCTGTCTGTGGGATGGGACTACAGCTAGTCTTAAATCCTCAAAATACGCATCAGCTGTTCTGCTTCACTGCCTACCAATGCAGAAACAGCCTCAGGTGTGATTTTCACATCTGGTTGAAATTATTTTTATGTGCAGGTGTCTAAGGTGTCAAACCCTGTCTTAGCAAACATTGAAATACAGACTAAAGTGTAAGCCTCTACTTAAGTGGATATGTTTGGGTTTAAAACTAGTGGTCTGGATATGTTTAGGATGTAGAGCTGATTATTTAGAGGTCGAAAGTCTCAGGGAGGTTTGTGATGGGTTTTTCAGGAGTGTTGCAGCTCACTCTGAATTAAAAATGTTTAATTCAAAAATTTAAAACGGGATCCTTGGGCTCTGGAAACTGGCTCCTGCATCATACTGCAAAGCCATGGTGACGTGGGAACCTTGATGTCACAGGCTTTTGGAAAGAGCAGGGCTCCTAAGTCACTTAGGAGGAGACCCTCAGAAATAATTATCACCTGAACATCAGTTAGGTACTTATTATATTCAGGAGCCTTTGAAAAATCCATTACCTGCATTTTCAGCTACAAGAAGACTTTTACAATCTGGCTTTTATGTGTTGTGACACTTCACAGAGCAATATATAAGTACCGTAAAAACCTGGGATTACTGTGAGGATACCCAAGTACCTTGGATACTTTTAAAACATTTACCTTTATTAGTTTTCACAGTTGGGAGCTTATTTTAGAATGATTGGAGGCATAAGACAGTTTGGGAAGAAATCATTTGTGTGCTGATAAACACTGCATAAGCATTACCTTTTAACAAATTTGTCCTGCTGATTTTCAGGTAAAGGCGATGTGTTTGGTGATATCTTCTGGAAAGAAACCAGTCTGGCCCATGCGTGTGCCAATGTACGGGCTCTGACATACTGCGATTTACATATTATTAAACGAGAAGCCTTGCTTAAAGTGTTGGACTTTTATACGGCTTTTGCAAACTCATTCTCAAGGAATCTCACTCTCACCTGCAATTTGAGGAAACGGGTAAGGCAACAGCTTTTGTTTTCCCCTTTCTCTCTCCAAGACATTGCACACTTTTGCAGACTGCTTGCAGTGTTTAACAACACCTAATTTACTCTCAATGTTTTCAGGTCGTTGCAGATTAACTGGCCTTTCAGTAAATGTTGTCGCTGTTTGTTAATGATGGCTCTATAAAAATTACCTGTAGATTTGCAGCTCTGAGAAGCACTCCTAGCAGGCTAATACATGAATTACATTTCCTTTTCTTCACAGTTCTGGGTTTTTGGCTTTTTTTACCCATTGTATGATGTATAAAGTTTTATTTTATAGTCTGATAGAATACAGATTCTGGATTCCTCAGAGGTGGGGTTTAGTGTCTCACTTGCTACAGTACAGGCCAGAGGACAGTCTGATGGATCTGCATGGCATAGACCAACTAAGAGAAATTTATTTAAGTTAAATAAATGGAATGTACTCAGCCAAAATATTGTATTAATACCTGCTTCTCTCACTTGCATAGTTTAAAATTTTAATATGGCAAGATTAATAAAGCTTGGTAGCAATTTTACATTCAAAGCTCGCTCCTTAAACCCTCCTGCTCATTTTATAATCAATCAGCAATGCTCACTATCCATTAATCCTTTCAAAGAACACTCCATCTAAAAATGAATTAGCTGTAAGGACATGTCTTTAAAACAGGTTAAGGGGTTCTTTAATTCACATTGCAGCTGCAAAATTTGATCTTTATGATTTTTTTTTATTTAAGATCGATGAGGGTTATATAAATTTCATTTGCATAGAGAAATATTATAACAATGATTTATAGATTATTGAGCATTAGCTGTGATCCTCTAGCTGCTGAAAGGCATTTTTCTGCAGCTGTACCTTGAGCATCTCACCTGATAATGTAACTCAGTACAGTAGTAAGGCTACCTCAGTGTTTCACAAGACAATTTCAACTGCTGCAGAAAGAGGAGTTCAGACCAACTAGAATTTTACTTTTCTGAGTCTAGTTTCTCTCTAGGCATGAGAACATCTTACAAATACTCCTTTCAATTTTTAGTGGATTTCTTGTGCTCATTAATGTATAAAGTGTGGCACAAAATAACCATGTCAAAAAGCAGATGTAAGGGGATCTGTGCTGGAGCTTGAAAGAGCTGAATTATAATAAGGTTTGGTTCCAGCTTGTCATCTTACCTCTGACTTGAAGGTTAATTCTGCTTCAGACCTGAAGAAGGGCTTTGGGGCTTCAAAGCTAGTTTGTGGTTTCTAGCTTATCATTTCTTTGTTAATAAGATGTCCTCCAAGCCTTGATTTCAGTGTCCCCAGCTTTGCCATCTCACCTACCTTTTATGTGCCATAAACTACAGACCCAAGATGACAATTCTGCTCAGGCATTGCTGATGGTGATTTCATGGGACAAGATAATGCCACATGTACTGTGCCAAAATGTATTCTTTGCTTCTGAAAACATAGAACCTATCACTTTAGCTAGCCTCCTGGGGCTCCCCTCCCCCTGATAGCTTTGGCAAGGTTGTGTACAGCAAAAACATGTACATATCTTCTCCCAACAGGGCAATGTGCTGGAGTTCAACTCTATAGTCTGTGGATGCATATTGGGGAATAGCCTCCTGGCTGGATTTTTATGGATTTTCCTCTCTCTCATGCACCTTTTTTAAGGAAAATTATTTCCCCTTCAGGGCCCTGGTTTAAGCAGTCCACCCAGGTGGAAACTCTCATGGAGGTCAGGTCCTCAGTACAGATACCTGCTGTCTAGCTCAGTGTTATGTATATGGACTTTGCCATGGGGGTAGTGACTCAAAGCAAATAGGAACAGCACTTCTAAAGAAATGTTAGATTTTGTGGAATGAAAGGAAATGTTGGTCAGGGGCATGTGTGGGTGTTATATGAGAATGGATGGAGAGTGAAAGAAAGGTCATGCCCATGTGGTACATGCACAGTGGATTTCATTTCACAAAAAGTTGGGTGATGATGTCCAAGGCAGTCACATGTCACCTGTATAACACATGAAGAATGTTTTTACCAGAAAGCAATCACTTGGCCCCTCTTCACTGCCCAGTCTGGGGTGGGAAAACCATCCCTTTTCTGCTGACTTTTGAAAGACTCCATGATCACTAACATGGGCACTCAGATAAACCCACCTATGATGTCTCCTACAGTTTTACTCAAGAACTATTTTGGGAGGAGTCTTACTTGTAGTATTGCAGTAAGATACAATAAGTATTGCAGCTCTAGTACTGACCCAGAGCCTGCTTTGCAGAAACTCTGTGTATTATTTCTAAATAGGTTCACAGATTCATAGATTTATGCTACTTTCAACACCAAGAACACAATCTAAATCCTGTTACATAAAATTATTCAGGGTATTGTTTCAAAACCTGTATCTGCTGAAAGTGATTTCCTTCAGGGCACATAAGAGTTTGGTGTTGAGTTCATCTATTATGAAAAGTAGTGCTTTTCAGAAGAGTTTCATCAAGCAAACAGAAAGCAGTTGTTCAGGCAGGGAGACTGGGCTGACAAGAGCTGTACTGTACTGCAGCAGTTTGTGCTGGAGTCATGTAATATAAATGGAAAGAAAATTATTCTCTCCTTTAAGTGATTTCAGTAGAAATATATTTAGCACTTTTCCCGAGTAGTTATCCCTCGTAACGTTTGACATTTAATTAGACAAGAATACCCTACTTGCAGTTCTGTATTCAAGAAAATGGCTGCTCTCACTGTCAAAAATAATTGACAGAATTGTTCTTCCTCAGGTCTGCTCTTCAAAATACATGTACATGTACGTAGGTGCACACACACGTGATTTTTCTGCACTGTCCCTCACCCAGCACTTAAATATGGTCCATAGACTGCAAAGCAATTTAGACGTTCAGAAGGTTAATAAATTAATAATAGTACTGAGTACAAAAGGTTAGTTCCACATGACAGGGAAGAGAAAGCCTCAGCGAAGTGGGAAAATAATCTTTTCTCACTCCCAAATAATATTTAGAGGCCTGACATGTTGAATGACCTACTTAAGGCATCTGCTCAACATGCTATTATCAGCTCTGGATTTTTGTTGTCTTTTTTGTGTTAGATAGCTCAGCCATTACACTGCATTTATGAGCCCATAAAGTGAGCGTGCCTGCCTGCTTTTCAACCTGCAGTCATCTCTCCTGCCCTGGGCGGTGAAGTGACTTTTAATCTGTAATTGCAAAGTATTGCAGCATATCGTGTTTCATGCTCTGAAATCTTTATGGCACATCTAGTGTCACTAATACATACTACAAGGCAGAAACAGCACTCTGAACTTCTTTTTTTTTCCAAACAGGGAAAACAATTAATCTGGGAAAATATTCTTTAAAATCATATTTTCATAGAAGATATTCTATTAAAATCATAATGAGATTACATAGCTGCCTCTGAGGACTGGAAGTTATAAAGCAGTGTTTGGGATGTATCTTCAAAGAGTTAATTACTGACTTCTGATGTTGTAAGGGAATATTAATAATGTATCATTCATTAAGTGCCTTTCAAGATTTCAAACATCTGGAGGAAGGCGTCTCTGCAAGCTTGAGCCATGCAGCTTGGCCTGAGCAGGGGAACCAAGGCAGACCTCTAGGAAGCTCGAAACTGTATAAATAAATGCATGTTTTATTGATGGTCGAAATTCAAGAAGGAAGGTCTACATCAAGATACCAAATACGTTCCCATAGGAAACAGGTCGTTTAGGTGCAATAGCTATACCAACACAGTTTGTCCAGGTGCAGAAAAAAATTGAAATGCAATTTTGGCCTTCCTGAAATCACAGCTAAAATTCTTCTGTTTTTAAGTAAAGCAAAAATTTCCCCCACAGCTTTTAAGGTACACAGTCACATACTGCTGTTTTCCACAATGAACAAAATGAGCTGTGTTAAAGAAATGAGTTAGGAGCAGCCAGGGAAGGGGACAATTGTCTACATAGGACCTCTGGTGCACTTGCTCCTGGAAGGTGTGCTGTGGAATGAGCCAAGGAGAAATGAGTAAGGCAGTGAAATACCATCTGGAGAGGCTCAGTTCTTTTTCCCGCGATGCTCTTAAAGCCAGGGACAACACTGTGAGCAACTGATGTTATCTGATGTCTCCAGAACACTGTGAATCTCTGAGGCTTTTTAGTGGGTGAGTCCATCAGACCATCTTAACACATGTCCCTTTTTTTTCTATTTCAGATTAGAATAATTTCTTTTTAAATTGGCTTTCTGTTTTTGCTTGAGGTTTTAAGGAATCACATTTGGTTTCTTGACTGAATCATTGATCATTTCTATGTCACATAGTTTTTAGAAAAGCTTTATTTTAATTTGAATTCTGCATTCATGTCTCGTGAAAGTTGTACAAAGGTTCACTTAGGATCCCCCTTCTTTTTCATTTTTAAGACTCTCCAGATGGTGTGCTATATTAGCAAGTGCCCTGATGCAAAAGCAGTGTCAGAGGCAGAAAGCATTGCTCTACATATTGCCCCTTGCTCCTGAAGGTTGCACATGTTCTATCAGACCTGTGGATTTTTGCAGGTTTTGAGCTCTGAAAACTATTCGCAATTACAGCAGCTTAATTCAGAGCTGTTTGCACTTTGCCAGCTGGTGCTCACACTCAGTCCTCATCAGTTGTTGGGGGTGACTTGCTTACATAGAAATGGATCAGAGCATTGTCCTTGGATAACTCTGGCAAACAGAAAGCTGTGGGGTAACTGTGGAGCAGGATGTGCTGACCACCTCCTCTGCCCAGTGGTCCATCTACACTGGCAGGTCCATCATCCATTTTCACATTTTTCAGTCTATTGTTGGGAACTTTCTCCATGTGGGACAGCAATGATGGCAAAAGCTATCTGGGAAAAACAAGCTTTTCCATCACTAATGAAGAGAAGCAGGGGAGAAAAGCACAACGCTTAGGAAGCTGCTGTGCTAATACTGTAGATCAGTGAGGGCTTCAGTGGGCTCTTGGACTTGTGTCCTGTGGTAAGGAATTGTGCCCGCCCCCAAGGCTGATAT